TGTCCATCTCCCTGTTCTGCTCCCCGCTCTGTCTCTGGTGAATCCTCTCACCCTCCACATCTCTGGCCTGTACCCCAGTTCTGTATGAATAAATATGAGTTCCTTCATCCTAGGTTTGGAAACAGACAACATGAAAAATTCCTTAAACATTACAAACTAGGGATGAGACAAAAATCATATGAGATAATCACAACTCCAGATAACCACCTGGAAGACAAGCTAAATTCAGTGTTTATGAACCTGCCTCTGAGGAAGTGCAACAATCAGAAAAAGACTTAATATTAAAATACTTGTGCACCAGGTACTGTGCCTGCTTCATTCACATATACTTTCTGACCTAAGGCAATTCAACACTGAAAACTGGGCACAATGACACCTTCATTCATATGAGGCTGGTTTAAGTAGGGCCAAGAACCCAAGGTCACATGGTATTTAACATGATAGTCCCATTTGTTGCTCTTCCCGAGAGAAAAAAAAATCACCTTACTTGTTTCCAGTTCGGTTTGTTATGGCAATGGCCCTGACATTTCACTTGATTCTGCCCTTTTGACCTTCCCAAAATACATATAAAGAGTAGTTTCTTTCATGTCTCTACAAATTTAATTTTTCAAAGCTAACATTCTCCTTACAGACGTAGAGCTTTTTATTACATTTGAGTAATGCTGGCAGAGCTGAAGAAACTGTCCAATTTTTCTAGTCTTCCAATCTGGGTTTATGATTGTTATTTTTTTCCAGAGTTTCTATAAGATCCCCTCCCCTCCCAAAACAAAAACAAACCAAGAGACAGTATAAAGAAGGATGTACTGCCAAGGAATTCTGCCCAACCATTCCAATTAAGACTCTATGCCTACCATGTTCACTAAGAATCAGAGACAATTACCAAATATGTGCTAACCAATTTTTAAAAAAAAAAAGAATTTAATAACAAACACTGAATGAAAACAGTAACATTTTTTTAAATGGGGAATAAACTTATTTTTATATAACTTTTTTCTAGGGGAGAGAAATCTTTCATGTTACATTTAATTAGTAAAGTGAATTCTTTAGACAAAAAGTGAAATTCTTACAAATGTTAATTACTGTGATTAATCAGTTTATGTGAATAGGGTTTCTTATTTCAATGTTTTAACGATGATTTTCAAAACGCTATTTAAAGTAGATCTAAACTTCTACATAAACTTAAAACACCCTGCTTACATGAGTGTTTATTATGGATAAAACCCCTACCCTACTCTCAAAGTTTAAATATTTTTTTTCACTCTTTACTTACTGTCTCTTCTTCCATAAAAGAAAAGTGTTTGTGTGACAGAGGGACATTCAGTGCAGTATGTCACTTTATCCATTAATTCCTCCTATAATCCAAAATCTAAGGAAGGAAGGGAATGGAGAATGAAAGAAAAGATTGGAAGGGTTATCTGATACTTATGAAAAAGAGAAGTGTGGTTTTTGTTTTTTAAATACTTTTAATTTAGAAATAGAAAACATCTTGGAAGAAATAAAATGAAAAACACAAAATATATAGGCAAACAAAATTTTACTCCATGAGCTTCTCAAATTCTCAATTGTTCATCAATTCCCAAGATGAAAAACACTCTTCTGGAACGACACTCAGCCACCACTGTATAACAGAGAAAAATGGTCAATTTTGAGTATATGAAAGATTTAAAATAAATTACTTGAAATGCAGTATACTTTTAATTTCATGGATCCTAAACCAGTTATTTGAGAACCATGTTTAATAGTTATCTACAAAAAAACCATGAAACAAGAAACTAAACTTTAAAATTTTGTAACAGAGGCCCTCCTTGGTGGCACAACTGGTTAGGATGCAGCACTGCAAGCTGGCTACAGTCATTTCAGTGTGAGCTGAAATGGAGCTGATCTGGGAGCTGACCCACATGGTGCAGCAGACCTCTCCTGTTTCTCCCGCTGCTCCCCTCAGCAGTGTACTTCATCAGTCTGCCTGTTCTGCTCCCCACTCGGTCTCTGGTGAAGCCTCTCACCATCCTTGCACCTGTGACCTGTACCCATCCTTGCACCTGTGATCTGTACCTGTACAGTTCTGTATGCATAAATAAATACATCTTTAAAAAACTAAAATAAACTAAGATTTTGGAACAGAAAAGGTACTTATAGATGATGTAGAAGATCAGGCTTATCTTTAAACTAAGAATATTCATTTGGGAAATGTGTTTAGCAGTTTAACAAAATGGTTTCTGAAGAAGACAAATCATACAAATTAACAGGATGGCTAGCTAAAAGGTATTTTATTTGATGTAAAAGCAGTTGAAAACAAGGAAAGCAAGCTAACACAATAGTTCTCAATCACTGTGTCTAATCCTAACAATTCAAAAGATGTGGCTTAATTATTGTGGGGGGGGAATCAACTTTTCTAGAGTAAAATGAAATTTTATATGCATAATCATTAAAATTGTATATGCAGATATACAGTTAGTACTGTGGTGCTAAGGAAAAACATTCCTTTACAAGGTTAAGTTTATAAACATTCCTGAAGACACTTCAATACTATGTATTTCAGGTTTGTTATTTACCTGTATTGCTGTAACTAAAATACCCACAACAGAATAACTCCTTGAAATTATTATAGTGATGAGACTGTATAGAAGTTTCAGTATAGGAAAAAAATACAATAATACAAGCTAGTAAAAGAGAAGCCAGCAATTATGTAACTCACAATCATTTCAAATGATTTAAACAATGATTTATGTTTTTAAGAAAGAAAAGACTTCTTTCATTTTTACTGGCATTCCAAGGAAAGAACAGATTTTGCTAATTTTTCTTACAAAACATTTGACCTCATTTCAATATAAAAAAAAACATTCACAGATATGTCAAAAGCATTATGTATTTAAAGTTTTCAGAGTAACTTCTAAAAGGTTGGAACTGTTGTACAATTAATTGACAAGTTTGTTGACTCATTTTGGGTTTTCTTTGGAAAGTAGATAGTACATATCTGAATACTTGTTTCAATAACTTCTACTGAGAACAATTCAATCCAAAGGAGGTATAATGAAAGTGCAACTTGACACCTTGGTAATGAATAAAGGATGTTCCAAGGCAAAACTAGTAAAGATAACAATTACATACGATAAAAATTCAAAAAGTCCTCCACTAGGGATTGAGTAAAAAAGAATTTAAAATTATAATGTCCCACTCTTACACTAAAAACAAACTATATCAATTAAATATGTTCCACAATGGATAGAAAAACACACACACTTTGCTTATGAACAGAGGCAGCCATAGAGACCCCCACCTCTTCTGTTTACTAACCAGGCAACTGTAGCAGACATGGAAGCTGAGTTTCTTAATTCTACTCTGTCTCCTCTCCACAATTCCAAGAATCTATACTTTGCACTTCTCAAAAGAATGTAACAGTCATTCTGAACAGTCATTCGAACTCGATGACCACATCGAGTTCGAACTTTCTATGATTCTAAAATCTCCTGTTGTGGCACTTATGCTCAATCATTACGATTACCTCTTAAGAAATCCATCTGACAACACTCTTTCAATAACTTGCTTATTTAAAACAACCTCCAGCATTTATCTGTGATAAAATACCAAGTTACTTAAGAGATCTATGGTTCCTTCAAAACTCACCACAGATTGTCAGATGAGACGCAACTCCTCTGTACCTCAAATATCAGCAAGTTAATAAACTACATAAAAAGAACTTGTAATTACTGGTTCTGCTATCAAATACTTGCTTTGTCACATACTGAATGCCTTTAACTATCTTCCTTATCCTCAAAATTTTATTTATTAAAAAAAAGTAGGGAGTGTATTAGAGCTGCCAAGATTGTACAAAACAGAAAATCACCTGGAATTATCAGAGACTGCATCAATAAATATCAATTGATTCCACTAGGATAAAAGTCAAGAGATGTTACTAGTTTTTAACAAAATAGCAGGTTTTCAATTCAAATGGCTTCAATTTTTAGTTCAGCCTAGAAATTGCCTATCTCATAATTTACTTACACAATGATGTTATTAATAGGGATATGGATCAATTTCACAAAAAAGCCAATGAATCCCATTATAGCAAATCCTATTGCTGTTGCCATGGCAATCTTCTGGAATTCTAGAGTTAAAAACATAAAATTTACATTATTTTTTTCACAATCACAAATATGGGGAGATAAACAAGCAGTGATATAATAATAACAATAATGTTTTATATATATATATAAAAACTGGAATATATAGATATTTTTATAGAAAGATATATAATGTAATAAAACAAAATGGCACTATTAATAATGAAGTTTGAGAGATTGTTAAATGTCCACATTTTATTGATATTTAAGGAAATATATAAGATGCTTGCCTAAGTCAGTAAATCCATCAATAAGCAATAGTTTATCTTTTTAGCAAATGACAGTAACAAAAAGAAATGAAACATGAAAAGAGCACAGTATTTGTCTTAAATTTGTTTTGTAATGTCAATAAATATTTTGATTATAAAACCACATAACTTTTTATAACAGCAGCAGTGATCACCTTAAATATTATAATAAAAAAATGAGACCTGAAAATCTAATTGGACTAAGCACAATTTTATATAAAAGTTTCAGACTTTGGCAATGTTTCCACTTAACATTTTTACTCAAGGACAGTATTCCTGCCCTCTTCACTTCTTTAGTGCTCCCATTACATACTCTTAAACCTTCGGTTTTTTCTTCCATAATACCTAATGTAAGAACTTGGCAGTAAGTAAGAATTGCAATTGTCATAATTTGTTCATGAATACCTTCCCTGAAAGGCCCAACATACCATAAGAGAAAGGACTCTCCTCAACAATATCTATTTATGTATTATACTTTGTGTAAAAAATAATGTATTATTTCATAGTTGCTAATACATTCCCAGCTTCTAACTCAGCAGTCAAAAATTAGTAAGATCTGACATACTACTATATCTTTTAACATATAAATCATGATACAAAACAAATTAAATATCCCAGGTTGACAAAAACTGTACTGTCGGTTTCATGCTCAAGGTAATTGTTGTGATGGACTGACAACAGGGAGGACTCCAAAAGATTTTCTAAAGTAGGAATATGAAAAATACTAAAAGCTCTAACAAAAGCCATTAAATATGTAAACATAATATGAAAAAAAATAGACTAAAAATCTTACATTTGAAAATACATAAATCAGAAAAAAATTAGTGCACATATTATCAGAAGTTACACAATAAAAAACAAATCCACAAAAACACTGACAAAAGTAATGCAACGATGACCAAACAGGAAGACATTAATCAAACCCCAAAATCTAAATTTTTGTCTTGCTTTTAAACATTTACCTTTTCTGTCAGGTTTGGTACATCTTTTAACTAGCCGAATCGAGTCCTTCACAAACTGCCGACTTGGCTCAACAAATTGCATTACCTGATCCATGATGCTTCTTTAAAAAACAAAAAGGAAAAAAAAAAATCAATGCTCACTGGTGTTATCTATCATAAAGCAAGAAACTATTCATTTACATCAAAATGTAAATGTGACAGACGTGAAAATAGCTTAACATGAGACAATATATTGTATTACATAAAATAAAACCAAAAAAATGTGATCTCAAGCTTAAACCCCAAGCAAAGCATGAAATCATGGGGAAAAGAAAGAACAGATCTTACCATTGTCACTGACAAAACAAGCAATATTCATAAAAGGGCAAACCTTTAGATTTTACCTGCCTTTTGAGGATCTAATTTGTGTATGTTATCATACAGGTTCTTTAAAGGAATCTGACTCAATAGAAATATCATCCCACCTTACACAGCTTTTGAGAACCACAGGCACTAGAGCAAAAGAAGTATATTTACTACCTGTACTTTATTATACTTCCAGAACTTAGAACAGTAGGCCAAGCTCATAAATGCACAATAAACTTCTTGAGGAGGAGTTGGGGGTGGGGGAAGAATGTCACACAAACCCACCACTGGAAGTCAGGGGAGGGGCGCCAACACCCCGTTGTGATCGCAGCATAGAGAATCTTTCCACCAATCTACACTCTGGGGTCTGGGATAGGGGGTAGAGAACAGATTTTGGAATGTTGCCGGGTTCTCCCATCTACACCCCAGAGGGAGGCAGCTCTTCGAAGCCAATCGTCTCATCTACTCTGCGGGAGGACTGGGCTCTTCCAGGCCCATAGCACACTCCGCCCGAGGACCGGAAGTCTTCACCGAACATGTCCTAGGGTCGTCTGAGCACTCCTGAATAAGAGTCTTGGTAGGGGGATCGGACGCCCGCAGGGGCATTGAACCCCTGACCACACGCAACACGGCGCCGCGTTCCGGTCTCCGCGCCCACAGGAGGCCGCTATGTACGAAGAAGCGTGGGGGGACCCGGCGCAGACCCGGCACAACCCTCACCGCCAGCCTCCCAGCCGTTGCGAGTCTCGAAGCCCCGGCCCGGGAGTCCCTTCCCCAGCCCCGGTAGCCACCTCCTCGCCACAGCCTCCAGCGTCACCACGGCCCCCGCCCCGGAGACATCTTCACCAGCCAGCCACCTTGGAATTACACAGGACCGCTGGGGAAAACCCTCACCTTCCCGCCACTGCCCAAATCACATTAGTCCCCCTCACACGGGACACCTCACCTGCAGTCCCTAGCAGAGGCCAGAGACACGTAGCAATAACTGAGGGACTAGCCCACAGGAACCGGAAACCCGCCTCTGACAGACGTACTCAACATATCTCAGTGCGCAGGCGCAGGCTCAATTTGCTCCCTCGGTTTATTGGCCTTTCTACGGAGATCTTAGTGCGCAGGCACAGACTCAATTTGCTCTCCTCGGCTTAAGAGCCCTTTCTGCAGAGACCTCGATGCGCAGGCGCAGTTCGTAGTGTACCGCCGCTTTCCGGAGTGGCCGGAATTCTGAGCGTAGACCCCGGTCCATAGTGTCCCCAGAGTTTGCTAAGCATCTGGCTGCTCAGACCTGCGCTCACCAACCCGAAATGCCCCTTGAGCCTACACAGCAGGCACCCTGAAGCGCCGCTCTGTAACTCACGCATCGCTTTTTTCCCTACGTCAGCAGAAGATAGACTGAAGACTGTTCTCTGTGGGTTATGCAGATGTACCCCGCGAGTACCCACAATTTTACACATATTTAATTTTGTCAAAGTGTGCAGTGTAATGGTGTCACTGTGAACCTAACCTACTCTCAGTCGGGGTCAGCGTTAGGGACTAGGCAGTCTCCCGGTGTGTCAGAGTTTGGTTTGTGGGGGTGGGTATGATACAGGGGAGGGAGAGGGGCGCCCCTGGCCCCCCAAACCAGCTTGCTGTAAATAGATTCTGCCATCCCTGCATCAAGATCAGACATGTAAGACCTTTAATGGAAAAGAATCTTCAATACAATAGTGTGCAATACAAAAAAAAAAAAAAAAGATAACTAATTTCTAAATCAAACACCTGAAGTTAAACATCTTCCTGGGTAAAAGTCCACCCAAAAGGGATTGGCCCAAAGCAAGGCCTGCAAGCCCACCACAAGCCTAAAGCATCTTCCCACAGAGACCCATGGAAAAGGGTCAGAAATGGCTAGACAAGTCTGGGAGGAGAAGAGCAAAATCAAAATACGGATAAAAACTGTCCTAGTAAATTTCACCACGGGTCTCTCACCCACATTTGTTTCAGCCAGTCCAGGTCCAGGAAAGGAGAGAAAGTTTCTTCACATGTCTGTCTGCTCCATGTGCCTCCCTCAGGTCACCTTCTGGCTCTCCATCCACCTTCCTTCCTCTTCAGTGTCCTCTCTAGCTTCTTTTTCTCCCTGCTCAGCTCCACCCTCTTTCTGGGTGGGGCAGGGAACCTGGAACCTCCTGTTTTCCTGGGGACCACACTGTTACAGGTAGAGGTAGAATATAGATAGGTATGTTAGCAGAATGCTTTGCTGAGACTATCATGAACCAGACGTTAGGTGGTTACTACCTTGAGGTTTTATGTTTTAAACTGAACCATTCTCAGACAACACTATGGAGCAATTCAATATATAACACTTGGCTACCTGCTATGAATAAGCCAGAACCCTTTATAGTTTATTACCACCTAGTGAAGGAAATTTACAGTTTAGGAAAAGGACACACAGAAAACTTGATAATTACAAGCTAATATAAAAACTCCATAGCAAACAAGGAGGGTATTTTGAGAACTAAAGCCTGGGACAAGGACAGGAACCACTTAGATTGCAGTACTCTAAGCAGATGGCATGTGCACTGAAATGATAGGGATGAAGCATATTTAAACAAATGCAATCTTTTCATCATTTAAAAGTGACTCTTAAAACAAGTATGTACATTAATTTACTATCCGTGTGAATCACTTATAGTACAATGGATGGCAAGGAAGGAATTCAGTTTCCTGACTTCTAACTCTCTTTAGAAGAACTGGAGGCTTAGGGATTTGAACTCTGTTTTTAAAAAATGCATACTAAGAGATGTTAGGTAAGATGTTGACAGCAGTGAGGGTTCTGGACCTCTCTAAATTCAATGCTTTCTCAGCTACGCCTGAGTTATATTTATTTCCCAGATATTAATAATACCACCACTAAAAAAGAAAATAATTATTTTAAAGATTTATTTATTTATGTATACAGAACTGGGGTGCAGGCCAGAGGTGCAGGGGTGGTGAGAGGATTCACCAGAGACAGAGTGGGAAACAGAATAGGCAGATTGATGAAGTACACTGCTGAGAGGAGCAGTGGGTCAGAAGAGGCCTGCTGTGCCATATGGATCACCTCCAGGCTAGGGATTTCACTGAGGCTGTGGCTCACCTGAAGTGCTGGGCTTTAAGGGAGGACTCAAAAAGAAAATAATTTTTAATTGCAAAACAATGCAGCTAGAAAGTATTAGAAAGTCATTCACAAAAAAAATACAATTAACCGAAAAAGGCAGGAAAGAATAAAGACAAACAATAATCAGTCAAGAAAATAAAACAGAAATAATAAAATGATAGAACTAAATTGAATAACATCTGTAATTTTATTACATTTAAATATATTTTTATGCTGAAAAATTCTCCTAAAAAGATATGACGTATGGAGTTGCAGTTCACTACTATCCCACCCATTGTTCCCCTCCTCAGTGTATTTCAGTCCATCTGTCTGTTCTGTTCCCCCCTCTGTCTCTGGTGAATCCTCTTACTTCCCCACCATATCACATCTTTACCCTGTACTTAGTTTTTGTATGTATAAATAAATAAAATATTTTAAAAAAAGATATGACAGATATGTCAAATGGATTAACAAAACAAATCAAGATAGAATTGAAATCCAAGATTCATCTATATGCTGAGTGTATGGATGCATTCCAAATATAAAGACATATTGTTTGCAAGTAAATAGATGGAAATGCAAATAAGTCATTGCTAGAATTTGATGCCAGACTATGTTGGTATCAGATAATATAGAAATGTAGATATTAACATGGGAAATCACTGGAATTGAAAAGGGGCATTACATGATGATAAAAGGTCATTCATCAAGAAGATAGAAAATCATAAATTCATGTATCTCTAGTAACTATGTTAAAAATACAGATTTCCTTCTGTTGTACAGCCATTCCAGCCCAGGTATGTTCATTGTCAGTTCTCATAGACAAAAAGACATTTTGCAGTCATTTAATGCTGAGACAGGGGAACATCTACACAGGCAGCAGGCAGTCAGGCAGAGCGGTGGGGAGACTCCAATACTGAGAGGCAGAATAGCAACTCCACTGCCTAGTCTCTTTTACACTGTTAAGTGCCCATAGCCATTCACCTGAACACTGTTGCAAGTGCAAGGCCCATCTGTTGGTTGCTAAATATCCCGGTGGAGGAAAACAGCATTTGCAGATATGTGCTGTCTGTTTCACGGAAGGTGAAAAATAGTTTGATTGACTCATTTTCTTTACACTCTCACTCTCTGAAAGTTGAATATTATTATGAAACATTCCCTTAGCTGAAATGGTAGAAAGCAAAGATGCAAAAAAAAAAAATAAAAACAATAATTGGGCCCTCCCTGGTGGCATAGCGGGTTAAAGCACTGCACTAAGAAGCTAAAGCCACCTCAGCCTGAATTCTATCCCTGCCTGGCCCGGAGGTGACCCATATGGCGAGGCAGACCTCTCCTGACCTGCCTGCTGCTTCCCTCAGCAGTGTACTTCATCGATCTGCCTGTTCTGCTCCCCACTCTGTCTCTGGTGATGTCTCTCACTGTCCCTGGACCTCTGGCCTGTACCCCAGCTCTGTATGAGTGAATAAATAAGTCTTAAAAAATTTTTTAAAAAAACAATAATTTGTATAGATCTATTTTTTATAGATCTATTTTTTAATATTCCCAGGCCCCTAAAGTAATCTGTCAAATGATATCAAATAAATAAAACCTAATCAACACTAACATCCAGTGAAAGCAAGAATAATAATTTACACAGCCAGTGGAAAATAGTTCCAGGGAAGGAGCTTTACCAATGCCGCTCTCACTACTCATCATGCCCATGCCTCTAGAATAAATGCTGAAAAAACAATGTTGAACACTAGATTTGCTTTTCACCTTTACTCCTAGAAACAAAAATTCTTTCAGTTATAGAAAACAGGTACTAAAGTTCATCTTCTTACTAGTTTTAATTTTAATTTTTTAAAGATTTATTTATTTATGCACACAGAACTGGGGTACAGGCCAGAAGTGAAGGGGTGGCAGCAGGATTTACCAGAGACAGAGTGGGGAGCAGAACAGGCAGATCAATGAAGTACACCGCTGAGAGGAGCAACAGGCAAGTCAGGAGAGGTCTGCTGCGCCATGTGGATCACCTCTGGGGTTGGGAAGAACTTGCACTGAAGCAACTGCTGCTAGCTTGCAGTGCTGTGCCTTAACCAGTTGCCCTACCAGGGAAAGCCCCAAATTTTAGATGTTAAAGTTATTTTTTAAGTTGTTTCATAAAGCAAGATTAGTACAACTAACCATATCTGGGTGTTAGGTACATTCGAATTAATATAATTCCCTGGGAAGCTGCACTTTCTATAATACAGACAAGTGGTGAAAACAAATCACTGTTGATTATCCTTGGACACAGACGCAAATGATGAATACAGAGCACTTATTACAAAGTTGACATCAGTCTCTGACCTATGCCAATGTTATCTTTTTTTTCTAAAGATTTATTTATTTATGCTTACTGAACTTGGGTACAGGCCAGAGGTATGGTGAGTGAGAGGATTCACCAAAGATAGAGTGGGTAGCAGAACAGGCAAGTTGACAAAGTAAAATGCTGAGGGTAGCAGCAGGCAGGTCAGGAGAGGTCTGCCACGCCATAAGGGTCAGCTCCCTGGCTGGGGATCAAATTCATGCTGCAGTGGCTTCAGAGGACTTCATAATGTGGTGCTTTAATCCATTGTGCCACCAGAGAGAGCCCCTGCCAGTGTTATCTTACTTGTCCCCTTGCTTCACCTATGTTTCTGTAGTTTTGTTTTAATAGCTATAGCATTCTGGTAACATTCTGCTCTTCTTATTCTCCCAGATCTCTATTTCATTTTACTCAAGTTCCTCCAAATCTAGGTTAAATAATTCCTCTTAATGGGGATTTAGTTTGCTTATTCTCTAAACCACTATCAGTTTTATACAATAATCATCATACAACAAAGAATGGCTGAATATTGTGAAGCACAATATAATTATAATTCATTATATATTTATATTATATGATCAAAAGTTGTACTCCATTTCAAATACCCCTC